TGCTAGGGCACACAGGCCCCAAGGGGGATGGGGCCCACTGTGTTCTCACACACATTATAAATTGAGGATTCCTGGCAGCTGACTGTGTTCTCCACTTTTTCCCCCCTCCCCCTACCTTCGCCATCATCTTTGTTGTCATTGGCTGCTAGGATAGTTGGTGTTCTAGTAATTGATGACACGCTTACATAGCATGCACAGTAGGATGAAATATCCTCTGTGCAGAGCTGCTCCACCTACCAGCTCTGTCCCTGACTCTGGCTGCTGCCTCGTGGCTCCCGATTCCCACCCTTAATGGGACTCTGATCTAAGAGGAAAATCTAATCTAGGGGAAGGCTCCTTTTCTAAGGGGGATTCTGAACTAAATGGGCACTCTAATCTAAGCGGAGATGCTGATATAAAAAGGAGGCTCTGATATTAGGGGGACCCTGATTTAAAAGGGAACTTTGATGTAAAAGAAATCTATGATATAAGGGGGGACTCCTGATGTGAACAAGAGATGTAGGTTGCTAAGTTATTACTGCCTTGCTGTCTGATTGCTGCCTGAAAAGCATATTTAATGGAAAAAGTTTAATTTCTTTTAAATTATTGTTCTGAGTGTTGTAAATGTATGTTAGACTCCAGTTTTATGTAACCAAGCCCCTTTAAGATCCTCCAACTGTTAGAACAATCTGACCACAACAAACATTCTGTAAAGTGGGTGCTTATTACTGAAGGTTGTCTCAAGGTTTGGGGAGGTGTTAAAAGATGTACATGTGTAGGTGGCTGCAATAAGGCATGACTCTCCTTCGTTGTGGATCCACACTGGGGCTAAACTTATGTTCTTGCACATTAGCCTACTGCATTGAGACCCCCCCCCCCCCCCCATATGAACCACAAGGCAGAGATGTACACTGTTGATGTACAAAAGCTCAAAAGTCCAAAATTGCTAGACAGCAGTAGTCCCTGGTGTACTTCTCCACCAAAGTAAAACTAAAAGACAACAGCTGTGCTATTATTTAATAATACCAAAGGGAAACCCTGCCCATGTGAACCTTTTATGCACACGAAAAACCTGTTCTTAAAATATAACTAAAGGCAAAACTTTTTTTTTTAGTTTTGGATAGAGTGGAGAGGGATTTGAATGCTTGCCAGTTTTTATTGCTGTCTGTGCTCCTGTTAGGGAGATTCACCCACTCTATTTGTCCTGTTTACCATTATCATTGAAAGTGAAAGTAAAAGAAAACCCCAAATTTTGGGTTGTCCTCAGAAAAGTAATAGTGGGGAAATCTTCCAATGGGGACACTAGTTTAGGTGACCTTGGGGTTCCCAAGAAATTCACAAATTTTCAGGCATTTCTTCTCTCTTCCTGTTTGGCTATGGGACAGGAAGTGAAGGGAAATCTCCGCAATGGGAAACATGTGAAAAGAATCTGAAAGGGGTTATAACCTTCCCTCTATCCAAAATGAAAAAAAAAATGTTTTGACTACAGTTCTACTTTAAGTTCTTAACCTGAGGATTTTTTGCTGGCTACTAGGAACCTTTGCAATGCTCATAGGGAAACTACTATAAAACCAGCGTTGTTAACCCCATTTTCTTTATCATAAAAATGTGAAATATTTATATCCATTCTTATCTTTAACCACTTCAGCCCCTGTCCAATTCTGACAGTCCACCCTACATGTAAAAATCAGCAATTTTTCTTCTAGAAAATTACTTAGAACCAGCAAACATTTTTATTTTTAAGCAGCGGCCCTAGAGAAAAAAATGGTGGGTGTTGCAGTATTTTACTGGCACGTTATATTTGCTCAGCATTTTTCAAATGCAAGCTTTTAAGCAAAAAACAAAAAATAATACCCAAATTCTTTGGTAAGATATAAATATGATGTTACAGCGAGTAGAGACCTAACATATCACTCTTTAAAAATGCACACACCTGTGGAACAACAATGAATTACAGTACATTAATATATTCATGGGCAAAGCTTTAAAAACCTTTACAGATTACCAGTTTAGAGTTACACTAGAGGTCTGCTGATAGAATTATTGCTATCACTATAACGTTCATAGCGATACCTCACAAGTGTGGTGTGAACACAATTTACGTATGCATCCATGACCTACAGTCATGGCCAAAAATATTGGTACCCCTGCATTTCAGTCAGATAATGCACCACTATACCCAGAAAACTGTTACAATTAAAAAAGTTTAGGCATTTCATGTTTATTTATTTTGTTTGTATTGGTATGACACACAAAAGTGGAGAAACAAAAATCCAAATCTGACACATTCCACGCAAAACTCCAAAAATGGACTGGACAAAATTATGGCACCATCTCAAAATTGTAAGAAATAATTGCATTCCAAGTTTGTGATGCTCGTGTAATTTGTAATTAAACTCACTTGTATCAAATAACAGGTGCTGACAATATAGAAATCCCATCGACAACCATTTAAAATGGTGAAAAATTAACTCAATCTTTCTGTTGTGTGTCTGTGTGTGCCAGATGGAGCATGGAGAAGAGAATGAGCAGCAAATAACTGTCTGAGGATTTGAGAACAAAAAATGAGGAAAGGCATGGACAAGTCCCATCTCCAGAGATCTTAATGTTCCTGTGTCCACTGTGCGCAACATTGTCAAGAAGTTTTCAGCCCACGGCACTGTAGCTGATCTCCCTGAAAGTGGATGTAAGGGAAAAGTTGATCAAAGATTGCAACAAAGGATTGTTCGAAAAGGTGGATAAAGAACCAATCAACTTCCAGACAAATTCAAGCTTACCTGGGGTACAACTGTGTCAGCTCACACTACACATCGCCATATGAATGAATAGGGATGCTATAGTAGGAGACCCAGGAGGACCTCACTGCTGACAAAGAAACACAAAAAAGCTAGACTGGAGTTTGCCAAAACATAATTGAGGAAGCCCATCATTCTACTGTTTTCAGAAAAACAAATTAAGCCTTTAAAGAAAAGAATACAGTCTCTACAGTCAAACATGGTGGAGGTTCACTGATGTTTTGGTGTTGCTTTGCTGCTTCACGCACTGGATGTCTTGGCCGTGTGCATGGCATTATGAAATCTGAAGACTACCAAAGAATTCTGGGATGTAATGTAGGGCCCAGTGTCAGAAAGTTGGCTCTTCGTCAGAGGTCGTGGGTCTTACAGCAGGACAATGACCCAAAGCACTAGTCAAAAAGACCCAGAAATGGTTTCAGACAAAACGCTGGAGAGTACTGAACTGGCCAGAAATGAGTCCAAGTCTCAATCCCATAGAACACCTGTGGAGAAATCTCAAAACAGCACTTGGGAAAAGGAACCCTTCCAATCTGAGAGACCTGGAGCAGTTGGCAAAAAAAGAGTGGTCCACAATTTCAGCCGAGAACTAAATGATTTCAGTTTCATTTTTTTTTCCAAGGGGTGTGCTACCAAATACTAAATTAAGGGTGCCAAAAATTTTGTCCAGTCCATTTTTGGAGTTTTACGTGGAATGTGTCAGATTTGGCTTTTTGCCTCTCCCATTTTGTTGTGTCATACCAATACAAACAAAAGAAATAAACATGAGAATGCCTAAGTACTTGTAATTGCAAATAATTTTCTGTGCCAATATTTTTGGCCATAACTGTATGTATGTGTTTGCCTTTGTACGTGAGCACAGGAGAGGAGGGCAATTTACTTTTTTATTATTATTTCTTTTATTTAAGTTTCTCTTTATGGAGAGATCTGGGGTCTGTTAGACCCCATATCTCTCCTCTGCCCTCCAAAGCATCAGATCAAACCCAGATCAGTTTGATATGATGCTTTCACAAGCCAGTACATCCTGGCAAAAACTAAAAGTGATAAAATACTCAGAGCTTCCGGTTTCTTAGACCATAAAGATGATCAGTGACATTCCAGGCTCTCCACCTGTCGCATGTAAAATTCACCTCTAGGATCACTTTTACAATAAAGAGCATTGCCAGGTGAAAAAAAAGATACCAGGATGATGCAGTTGCAGGCATCATCCCATCCCAGAGGCTGAAGTGATCAACATACTTGAAATCACAGTTCTCACAATCAGATCCCATACATATGCTTCCAGCTGTGCCTTATGTTGCTTAGGCCCCTTTCACATGGCAATCTGATCAGGTCCACCTGTCTGTTTTTCAGGCAAACCTGATTGGAAGGTCCATGCATTCCTATAGAGAGGTGGGTATAAACAGACTTGTGTCCATTTAAACACTCCTATCTCCGCGTCCGATACGGTCCTCTAGATAGAAATGGAAGGGGATCTATCCTCTTCAATTTATGTGGAATCAGATAGGAGGGTAGTCGGGTGTAGATGGACAGCAGAATCCATTAACTCCTGGCCGACCATAGAGCACAATGGCCTTTGTCCGATTCCACTGCAGAAACTGAGCAGGCATGGATGTGTCATCCTCCTGTTCTGCTCCAATCAGCAGGAGATCTGTGAGCGGATACCCTGCTGATCAGAATGGAATCCACCCAGTTTGAAAGGGGACTTCTTTTTCATATTTTATATACAACACTTAGCATTACTGTACTGTACTGTTTCACAGGCAGGCTCTCATCTTAAGCAGGGTATACACGGACCGAAAATGAACCAGCCAAATTTCGGTCCATGTGTTCTGCTGACTGTTCAACAGAACCTGACCCAGGGAACCCTCTGTCAGAATACAGTAGCTCAGTGGGAGAGGTCCCTGGATCAACATTGTTTATGTTGATGCACGGATCTGTCAGTTTTTTTTTCGTTCAACCCACTGGTTGACCAAAAAAAACTGAACATGTACAATCTGCTTGTCTCTACTGTATCTGAGACTCTTCCATTTTTAGTGGCTAACTATGGACTTAAAATATCCATTAACTGGCACTAAGACAAAAGGATCAAGCAGCAATCAGTGCACTATGCTACTATTATACGTATTGAATATTTTTATTTTCTTGCTATTTTGTGAGTCTTGTCTTTGCTGCCATATGAAAAGAGGTTAACAGATAACAGCAAACTATACCAGATACTGTATATACCTTGCTCCTTCAGCTTGGGAAGCAATTTATCCAAAGCCACCATTTTTCCACTGTTGTAGACAAGATGACTGTCAGTTGTATAGGGTGGACCAGGTTCTGCCCCATCAAACAGGTATGGATGGTTGCAACACTTGCGCAACTGCATTAGTATATTTAAGAGACGCATTTTGTCCATTTTACCAGCAGAATTCAGGATGTCGATATCTTTCATTAAAATTTTGGTGTACCTAAAAATAAAAATGGTACAAATTATTGCTATGTAGAGATCATACTCATACAGGGCTAATGATGTAAAATATTATTATTATTATGATGTAACAGACAAATGTTTTACCTTCTTTATCCACATTACAACTACTGCATAGTAACAGCGGCTAGGTGGACTCTGTACAAAACAAGCATGGATGCACCCTTTCAATGCATGTGATCAAGTTGTAATTAGACAGTGCAGAGCGCAGTGAATGCACAGAGCCAATCAAAGTGGCTCTATGACTTGTGATTGCTGTGAGGTCCGATCACTGCCTGCATTTACATTTGAGAGCCATGCCTCTCAAAACATAGAAAGAGGATGAAGGGGGATTGAAGTAAGGTACCACAGAAATGGAAGTAAGCACCATTAGATATAAAGAGATACTAAAGGTTAATTTTTTTTTTTTAAACAAACATGTTATACTTACCTTCCCGGAGTACTGGTTTTGCACAGAGAGAAGCCTGGATCCTCCTCTTCTCGGGTTCCCTGCCATCACTCCTGGCTCCTCCTTTCTGTGTTCCCGAGCTGCTGATCCGTGTGTCCATTTACACACGGAGCAGTGGCTTGCCCCCACCCCCTCCTCATTGGCTAACTGGCTGTGATTGACAGCAGCGGTAGCCAATGGCCCCTGCTTGCTGTCTCAGCCAATGAGGAGACAGAGACGCAGGATAGCCGTGCGCATCGCTGGATCATGATGGGGCTCAGGTAAGTATTGAGGGGGCTGGGGGAACTGCTGCACAGAGAACCTACCTTCATCCATAGAAAGGTAAGTTATAATTCATTTTATTGTGGGATTATTTTTTAACCCATTCGCTACTCCCCAAGTGTGAGTGGAACACTCGAGTTCTATCCTCCCATTGTATGTGGCGTGCACATTCACCCCTTCACCCCCTCCCTCTGTATATGATTTATGAAGCTTTGTATATAGTTCACCATTAGCAAGATTCATATTTTAACCACCTAAAAAACGACTTGTTTCTTAATTTCCAAAAGACCAGTGGCAAAAAAGAGATCACCATGGGGTTCCTACTTTTCAAAAAGCGGTCATTTGGTTGTACTTGTACTACAGTTGTTTTTTTCTGTGTTCCCCTGCAGTTAGCTCTCACACAGCTTACCGGGACCCGCTGATTGACAGCCACGGCCGCATATGGCGGCGCGGGTAGGTCGCGCCCCCTACCCGGAAATGCTAAATCATTTATATTGTCGGTCTTTTTTTTTTATAGCACAAAAAATTAAAGACGCACAGACGATCAAATACCACCGAAAGAAAGCTCAATTTGTGGGTAAAAAAAGGATGTACATTTCATTTGGGTGCAGCGTTGTATGATCACATAATTGTCAGTTAAAATAAGCAGCGCTGTAACGCAAAAAATGGCCTGGTCAGAAAAAGGGGTAAATCCTCTGGAGGGCATGTGGTTAAACAAGGCTTTTCCTATGAGAGTGAGAACAAGGAGCCTGCAGTGGACAAGTTTGGTAATAGCTTTCCTGCAAGCAAAGGTTCACAGATTACTAACAAAAGGGAGCGTATTTTCAACATGACCATGCTTTCAAATCTAAAACAGTTTGTTTTAATTTAGATCAGTGGTCTCCAACTAATACCAAGGATGGGGCACTATTCCTTCCTCTGATACCATTGATGGGTCACTATTCCTCCCAATGACACCAATGATGGGGCACAATTCCTCCCACTGACACCAATGATGGGGCACTATTCCTCCCACTACCACCAATGATGGGGCACTATTCCTCCCACTGATACCAATGATGGGGCACTATTCATCCCACTGTCACCAATGATGGGGCACTATTCATCCCACTGTCACCAATGATGGGGCACTATTCCTCCCACTGACACCAATGATGGGGTACTATTCCTCCCACTAATACCAATGATGGGGCACTATTCCTCCTAGTAATACCAATGATGGGGCACTGTACCTCCGACTAATACCAATGATGGGGCACTATTCCTCCTAGTAATACCAATGATGGGGCACTATTCATTCCACAGATACCAATGATGGGGCAACTATTCCTCCCAATAATACCAATGATGGGGCACTGTTCCTCCAACTAATACCAATGACTGGACACTATTCCTCCTTCCACTGACTACAAGCACTATGTTTTTTTTTTTTTTTTTTACTCCTACTGCCGCTGGGGAATTTTATACTCCCACTGGGCCCTCCGGTCCTCCTAAAGTCTGAAGGACAGTAAACTGGCCCTTTATTTAGAAGGTTTGGAGACCCCTGATTTAGATAATCTAATCTGAACTTGAAAGAGTAATAGATTCTGTGTCTTCACATAGAAAGTACCCAAACTCAAATGCACATTTATCCATTGTAGTGCCTTTTGAAGAGATTTATTAAAAACATAACTTCATTCTGACAGCAAACCAGCCTAGCCATCTGTTAAGGGTTAACTTTTCTTGGTTGAAATTCAAAGGACCCTCTAGTGAAGACATGCAGATAATGGGTGAAGGGAGCTTTTTCCAGAGACAATAGACTGTTTGACTATCTACAGGTGGCCTAAGACCACAATTCTGAGAAGTTTAAATTGGCGACTATGAGACTAACTAAAAGGTGCATATATCAACAAATACTGTTTGTATATTGGGGTTGGGGAGAATGCATATACAAAAGTTAATTAGACAGTCAAATAAGACCTTGGACCTTCAAACATTGAGTCACCACACAACAAGTGAACAATAGATGAGACCATATTAAAGTCTGAGAAGAGTAAACAAACCTTGGGGAGAATGATGAGCTAACAGTCTTTTCAAACAGTCTTTTCAAACGACCAGGACAACTGTTTGTACTCTCTGATTTTTACAATGGACGTAAATAACAGTTTCCTGTGTCAGTCTTAAGACTAAAAGTTAAAGCTTGGAACTTATATTTTTACCCACAAAGACATCAACAGAAAGATACATTATTCCCACTCTTTCTCAAACAAAAATATTCAGCAGAGTTGAGGATGGTATACCACTAAATTGAGTATGAAATGATGAAAATAAAGATATATGGTGAATTGGTATCAGTTAGAGATTTATATCAGAAAACAAATGCTTGCACACACGTTTTGTATTTCAGGGAAATGAATAACTGAATACACATATATCTCCTATGGTTCCTATTTAGAACATTATAGGTATAATCAAATATATATATCTGGATAAGACGTATATTTTAATACCTGAAATCACCTGGGGTTCTCCCGAGGTGTGAGTCATCATAAATACTCAAATTGTTCTATGAGCCCTGACTGCCACCTAGTGGACAGGTGAGAGATAGCATAGGTACATACATTTCTCGACCGGCCAATCAAAAAGCCTGTTGGGAGGGTCTTTTAGAACAATAGTTTAGATGGTATAAAAAAGCCATGCACCTCATTTAAAAGGGAAAACTCACTAAAAAAAGACTGACTAAAGAAAAAAAACCCTGGAAAAAAAAAACCTGAAAGACTCACTGAAAAATCTCACTGGAGCCAAAGGAAGAAGCTGAAGAAATCTGAAGAGGCTGAAATCCATCCCTGCTGAATAACCACTCTTTCATCCTTTCAAACTTTTAAAAACTTTTTACTAAACCTCTAAACTCTCTGAATCTATACCATACTACATTTTTCCAACCAACCCTACCTATCTATCACTTGCCCTGTGGCCATTATTCTGAAGGCGTTTCCATTGCCAGCTGAATCCACTGGGAAGGTGTCATAGTCCAAGTTCTGGGTGTGGTGAGACTGTCTATCTAATGTTGTATTGCATATTTCATCTGTTGTTTAGTATGATAAGAATTACCTTAGAGTGATAACAACTGCATTGGGTGTTCATATATATATCGAGAGATCCTGTATTACTGCTAAAATTGTTTGGTGTCAAATTGCAAATTTACATATTTCATAAATTATTAATTTTTATTAGTTAGAGTATAATTTATCAGGGAATATTTTCTCCCATTCCTATGGCCACGTTATGTGAGAAAATTACCTCTGAGATACTCTAAATTATCAGTTATTACTAAATTTAAATTTTAATCTTTATCATCATTAGAAATATTGTAATCTTGTTTATTATTATTTAGAAATACTGTATTGTGTATGATATTGGTATAGTATATCTTTGATCGTGTGTATCAATATCCATTCATCACCAGTCTTTTGCGTTTTGTGTTAATATATATATAATTTTTGTACATAAATAAATTTATATATTTATCTATTATAAGGCAAATTTTGTGTGTATGGTACGAAATCATACTGGCTAAAAGGATTCAAGGTATAATAATAAGTGGTGATCAAATTATCAAGGTGTCCAAATTATAGGTTCACTAAATATTTGTCGTATTTGATGGCTGGAGGCACTGTAATATTTCATCTAAGGGAAAGGGACACCGCCCTTCATAAATAGAATAAATCCTTACATAAACCACCACACCATCTACTGGTAACAATCCTGAATGCTCAAACATGCTTTATATCTATAAGGTGACCTTTTTAAGACATACAAAAGAAGAATAAGCTCAGTCTTACCATTCCCTCTGCATTTTACTGAGTCCAAGATAAATTTTTACTTCTTTTTTTTGGTGGGAGACTCTTTTCTACTTCAGCTTTTATGCGTCTCAAAAGAAATGGCTTTAACACCTGGTAAAACATTTATATATAGGAGGCTTTATTATTAACACCTAAAAATTTGGAAGTAAATGATCTACAGAAAGGTGAGATCATACTTACTACATGAAGTCTTTCAACAAGTTTTTGATCCCCAAGACAATTATTTGTGTCAAACCAAGAGTCAAAATCCTGTGCAAAACAGATTTCACAAAAAAGTATATAAAGTAACTAGAGTAAAAAAATACAAAGTAAAACAGAACTTAACACATGAAATTCTATAATGCATGTTAGCCATAAAGATGGTTATTTTCAGTCATGTGATTTTCATTGGCGGCTCCATTGCTGAAAATGAAGATCACTGTGGCAACTGCAGATTGTAATAGCTTAGTGAACTACGCCTACTGTGTTTTTTAAACTCCAATTGTGATTTTCTAGAACAGAGTAATCTGAAATCATCTGATCAGTTTCTACAAACTACACAATTTGCCTTCCTCTGCTCAGCATAAAACATGCCTCTGTACAATATAATGCTGAGATTATAAGGATATGTTTATTGTCATTCAAAACAAAAATGTTATACTTGAAAGGAACAAGTAAAGGTCTTCAGGTCCCACTGAACAATAATAAAATGATGTCTATCAAAAAAAAAAAATCAAAAAAATTAAATAAATTTAATATATTTGTAAACATAAGTATATTAAAAAAAGTGTGAACATTTCTCATTTACAAAAAAAAATGTGAAAGTGCTGAATTCAGCATTCTGTAAATTCATCTGGCAGGGTAAGAAACCACAGACTGCATTTAAAAAACTTGATTATATAATCTATCATGTATGCTGAGACATTGTATAGTTTGGATAGCGGGTAGATCTAGGTTTTCAAATACGGAGGACATATCTACCGCCTCTTTAGACACTCTGGGAGAAACAGCAGATTTATCTATATCTGTCATTTACCCATACTTGACTAGGCATAGAGCTTTTGATCTGGGTATCTAATAGAGCTTTTGATCTAATATCTAAAAATGGTCTCAGGACTTTCAGGTGGACAACGTAACATTTCAAATATCCAAGGATACCACATGGTTTGTAAAATCATAGTAAATGAAGTATGGCGAGAGACTCAATATAAAATACTGCTTCAAGCATATTTACCAATTCAAGGTTATGACCCTCAACCATAGTTGTCCAAAATGTGGAGAAAATAAGGCTACATTAGCACACTATTTTTGGTATTGTCCCTTAATTAATAATTTTTGGAAACAAGTACTAAGTTACACATCTAAGATTTTTGGGTATGGCATTCTGGAAGACCCAATGCTAGTTTTGTTTAGCTACTGGGAGACAGCGCCAATGGGACACTCAGAAATTTGCAATACAGAATGGGTCCATATCCGTCTAACAACAGCAAGAAGGTGCATACTTTGAAAATGGCACAACTCATTGCCCCCAACTATGGAAATGGTACAGAGAGATATAAAGAACTTGCTTTACTTAGAAAACGTATAAATTAAAATAGATTATGGGGGGGCATAAGTCGAAGAAAGTATATCAACCATGGGCTCTATATATGGAGAAATCTTTAACAACACAGGAAAAAGCCATGTTATCAGCTAATTGGGTTTATGCAAATTGTAAAATGAATTGGGTTTATGCAAATTGTATATATATTTATATGTATTTATTTATTTTCTTTTTTATATGTTACAATTTTATACAGTATATTTCACATCTAAGATCCTAGGCTTTGATCTATAGGGGAAAAATGTGTATATACTAAGAGAGAGTGGTGGAGATGAGAAATAAACAATGAATGATGTACTTAGAAATTTAGAGGTTAGAGTAAGTCTGGTAATGGGTAATAGAGAGGAGGATTTAGGAACAGATGAGCATAATTGATATTATGATATTATTACATTTTGGACTCCCTTCGCTCTTTTTTTTGTTTTGTTTTTTTGTAATGTGTAATTCATTTGTTTTCTATTGTAAAGAATTTTTTTTTAGAAATTAATAAAATGTTTTGAAAAAAAGAAAAGACTTAAGTTGCGAAGGGCAGGTGCAGACCGGCACAGAGCCCACTGCAAGTCTGAAGGAGGGTTGCACACAAGAAACTTTGAAGACTGAAGACTGCTCAGACAGAAGTAGGTGGTGTTGTATAGGTACACTAGGAGGCAGTTTCCAGCAAAGCTTTTGCCAGTGTCCAATCACCTGTAGGTATAGTTACAGTATATAACCTATGCTCTAAGAATCAGCTCCTGTATCCTTTTGTCAGAAAAGGAATACCCAGATACACAGACGTCCTGGATTGAGGAACTCTGACCGTGGTCGAGTAAACAGTAAAAAGATCAGGTCTGGGCATGTAGGCCCTTACAAAACAACCCCAGTAGCTGACTGGGGACAATGAGACAGTATATCTGGTCTTCCACAGTACACAGAACATTGAAATGCAATTAGTTTAGTAAATAAATAAAACTGCTAACTATATTTTCTCATCAGCAGTTACAGAAGTCTTATGACTTCTATCAGTGTCCAGCTGAGCACTGGTTAAAGCTTTTATAAGTTTTCATTCTCCTATGACTGCCCTATGAGGCTGCAGAACCCCTTACCCTCTCTCTGGACAGTGCTGATTGGCCCTGTGCTGATCACATGCAGTCTCCCAAAGGAAGAAAAAAAATCTCTCTAGCACATACACACTAAATTGAGCATGTGCAGAGTGACTCCAAAGACTCTGTGTTATCAGAGATGAGTCAGGGACAATGGAAGAAGGGGAGGATTAGAGAAGCCAGGATCAAACAGCCTTTTAACACAATGCAGAGGATAAACCCTGTAGGTTCCACAGTGAGTATACCAACCATGCTTTACTGCATATACAGACTGATTTTACTGTTGTGTGTTTAGTAACACTTAAACTACGTCCGGCTGTTTATATACATGGGCCTGACGGGAGCAGTGCAGGGGCAGGTGGCCATTTATAAATGTCCTCCCTGCTTTCCTGCTTGTGCCAATCAGTGATCACAAGAAGAGTAGTAAGCAAAATGTCACTACTGACATCATTGCTTACTACGTGTGAAATCTGTGAATGATCACAGAGATCACATGGTGCAAGGCTATTCACAACAGCCTTGTACCATGTGACAAGCTGTGACCAATCACAGCTCTCACAGTATTTCTCAATGGCTGCAAAAATGCAGCCAGAGAGAAGGAGAAATTATTTCTTTTAGAGCTTTTATGGGTGTAAAAGCTAGTTTTTTTTTGTTTCGTTTTTTTTTAAACACTATCTTCATCACCCCCACAAGTAGTACAGTGTCACTATGGTGACACTGTACTGCTAGGGTGACGGTATGTACAAAAAAAAACAAAAAAAAAAAAACCATAATAATATAAAAAAAAAAAATGTAAAAACATTTTAAAAAATTATAATTTTTAGTTAGTATAATTTTAAACTAATTTGGGTTATTTTTTTTTTTTTACTAAAAAGATAACTGAATACATTTTGGCCAAGATTTATGAAGAAAGATTATTTATTTGCAAAATTTTATAAGAAAAACTTTTTTTTCAAAATTTGTGGACTTTATCATTTATATAGCAACAAAAATAGAAATCCCAGTGGTGAATAAATACCACCAAAATAAAGTTTTATCTGTTTAAAAAAAATGCTAAAAAATGTATATGGGTACAGTGTTGCATGACAATTGTCATTCAAAGTGTGATAGCACTGAAAGCTGAAAATTGGCCTGGACAGGAATGGGGTAAAAGTGTCTGGACTTGAAGTGGTTAAATAACTTTTTCAGCTCTGTATATGCAAGTGAAAACAATGGTGCTCAAGTCCATAATGGTGATGGCAGTGCCACAGCCTCAAATTAACCACATTGGCTCAGAATCAATATAAACAGACAATATAAAAGTGAATATAGCACCTGTAACAGACTCTTTAAAGACTTACATGGTACCAATGGATTGGCGCAAGGCGAATATGGTGTCTATGTGTCAAAAGGGATCAAAATCTTTACAAAGTAGCTACAGCCTTGTAAGCTTAACTTCTATAGTCTGGAAGATACTTGAGAGACCGTTATAGGACCACATAAATGATTGTTTGCTAGAAAACAATATTGTAAGTGATCCATTGTCAGCATGGATTCACAAAACACTGAATTTGGCGAACAAATTGTCTTTATGAGAAAGTGGGCAAACACCTATACAAAGGAATGGCTGCAAATACAGCATACTTGGACTTTGCAAAAGCGGTTGACACAGGTCCCCACAGACAGGTAATGGGTGAAATAAGGTCTATAGGCTTAGAAAATTCAGTTTGTAAATAGACAGAGAATTTGCTTAAAGACCATATTAGTGATAAATTATTTATATTCGAAGTGATCTAAGGTCGTTAGCTGTATACTCCAAGGTTCAGTTTTGAGACCCCTTATTGTTTAACCTATTTATAAAAATTATATAAAGTTTGGGATTAAAAGTGCCATTTCTGTTTTTGCAGATAACACCAATTGGAATAAAGTCCTTGCAAGATGTCTTCAACGTACAAGCCAACCTGAGCACTGTTTAAATGCACAACTATAGTATGTAGCAAATGAGGTTTAATAACAAAAAGTATGCACTTCGGGGTTAAAAACAAGCATGCATCAAACATTCTAGGGGGAGTACAACTGGGGAAGTCAATAATTGAGAAGAATCTAGGAGTTTTGGTACATTGTAGAGTAAAGGTAATGTGCTCCTGTACATAAAAACAAACTGAAGCTTTGACTAAAGTCAAATAACGCTCTTGCAATAGGTGTGAGCTATAGGCCAGAAGCCTGGCAGGAAAACTCCTAGAGGTGGCATCCCCCCTTCCTGCCTTGTTGCTAAGGCACTCATTGCTTTTAGTGGTGATGGCCATGATCACAGGAGATAGCTTTCAAACCCCCGTACATGTGCGGTTCATTATCTCCACTATTGTAACATCGCTGAGCTAAGATCTACTGTAAAGGGGGGGGGGGGGTAGGAACAGGATTCCAGGCCTGTAGGGGGGAGGAGAATCTTGTAGGGATCGATGACCTGAGGGAGTACCCACGCCCCACACCATGTCCAGAGATGGAAGAGAGGGGGCCCCTACTTACCAATTCAGCGGAGTGTGCAGGTAAGGCTCCCAGAAAAGAGCCACCTCTCCACCTGGGGTGGCTTTCGGCCAGAGTAACACTGTGACACAATATAAAGAAAGGAGAGCGCACAACTGCCTGTAATCCAGTTTATTAAAAACAGCAATAAAAATCTTAACCATGTACATTCACATATTCCATATGAAAACTGAGCATGTCTGTGTCCACAACAACCCTCCTAATGGCCATTACACGATCCGAGCAATGTAGTATCTTCAGATCCTCCTTGTGTCACCAGTTGACAGCTTGGGAGCCGCTGAAGCCAGTTAGTGGTGTGTGGAAGGTACTGCGCAAGCGCCCAAACCTGGGGTCAACAACCCACTAATTCAACAGCATGGTCCCCCTTGCTTGCTTGAAGATCCCAGGTAGAGGAGGGAGGAAGAGATCTGTCTCAAGTTACAATAAGTTTAATGGCTGCCAGCAGTGTGACCTCCTTCCTGTATCTGCTGCTTTCTTCACTTTGCTCTGAAGCTCCACTCCAGGAAGGTGGTTTCTTTTTTTTTCTTTTGGAGATGATGTAAAAAATTCAGTAATATAACCAACAACGAAGTGAAGTTTTGAAAGTTTACATGTTGCAGATGTGTGATCCAATAGGAAACCTGAGCTCTTCCTAGATCTCTTCCTTCCTCCTCTGCATGGGATCTTCAAGCAAGCCAGGGGAACCATGCGGAGGAAATAGAGGGTTGTTGGAATTTAATACCCCAAATTCGGGCACATGCGCAAAAAAGTTGCAAAAGCCTCAGAGGAATGAATAAGGTATAATGTATTTTCTTTCTGTCTGTAGACCTGGCTAAACCAGCAACAGGCACTTATAAAAGAAAGAGGAACCAATACTCTACAGAGTAAGGGCTCTTGCATACAGGCTGGGAAAGCCCATTCAGTGTAAATGCTGGCATATTTACTCCACCCAGGCAGCTCAGATACAGCACACAGCTTGCCACTGTCACAGCCCGTGAGCCAATGAGGAAAGGAGAGCGGGCTGGGGAAGCTTGAATTGCTGTTCTATGTGTCGTATGGACACATAGAGCAGCGGCTCGGAGGCAAGCAGCTTTCTCTGGGGGCACTGCTCGAGCCAGAGCGGCAGCGGGGGACCAGAAAAGAAGAGGATTGAGGCAGCTGTGTGCACAGAGCAGTTAAGTATAACATGTTTGTTTTTTTTGTTCGTTTTTTTTAAAATGAAGCTTTATTATCATTTTAATGTCAATGACAGGCTGTAGACTGCCTGGGCAAAGGAAACATACTGGCAATTACACATAAAAGGCTCAGCCAGCCCATGCACAAGAGCCCTAAAAGGTGTTAATAACTTCAGCAGCAAGAGTACAATCCAAGCACACATTCCTGCGTTAAAAATGGCTGTGTGTATAAGTGGGTGCTGCAGCGACCGTCGGCTGCAACCGAACAGAATCAGCAAGGGAGAGTGTCACCAGCACACCGAGGATCACCAATATGGGTCCAAAAATTTTAATGAACAATCCCATAGTTACAGCATGACAACATTTTGGAGTCTCGCAGGACCCCTTCATTAGGCATGCTGTTGCTGTAACCATGTGATCGTTCATTAAAACTTTTGGACCCATATTGGTGATCCTCAGTGTGCTGGTGACACTCTCCCTTCATAACGTCAGCAGTTTACCAAAAGCAGAAGAGAAGATTTATCAATTGTGGAAAGACATCTGACAGCAACCAAGTAATGTTAATTCTAAAAACAAGAAACACTCACCTCAGCTGAATTAAATACATCAGGCAAAAGGAAATTCAGTAATGCCCACAACTCATGGAGGTTGTTCTGCAAAGGGGTTCCTGTCAGCAATAGACGATTTGTTGTCTTAAACTCCCGAACAATTTCAGATAGCTTTTAAAACAAAATTGCGCTGGGAAGTTATTTTACATGTATGAAAACAAAGCATATACATACAATTACACCAATTATAAAAGAACAAACATATTGTGGTATTTTACAACCTAGACATTTTGGTACTGAAACCATATTGTCTAAAATATAAGATAGGTGAAGGTTACCACTGAGAATAAACACCCTTGTGTTTTCATGCACTGTAATTGCCCAACATATTTACTGTAATTATATATCATTTGGCAGACTAGGTCCACACTTGTGTGGGTGGTTTTGGGTGCGAGACAGCATGTAAATTGCACCTTTTCCCGCACCCGCAACCATCCACAGCCAGACTGCGCTGCCCTTTTGCAGATGTGTGGGGCTGCCATTCATTCCTAACGGCACCCACATGCATCTGAAAACGCAGCTACATTTTAAAAATGGTACAGGAACCTTTTTCCTGCATGAAACGCAGACACAGCAGCCCATTCAAAACACGGCTTGCAGAGCTGTTTAGGTGTGAACTTAGCTTTAAAGAAGAAGAATACATGTGAACATGGCAAATTCCTGCCTGAATCTGGGAAAGATGAGTTACCAAGCACAACCTCATGGAGTGTACTTAGAAAAAAAAAGTAGCTGTTCATCCAACACTGGATATAAATTAACCACCTCCTTCCTGGAAACTATACATATATTGCCAGGAGAGAGCTCCCTTATTTCGGAAGGACATACCTGTAAGTCTTCCCTTTGTAAAGCTCCCCCCAGGACGTTCACCAGTGGGATCTATTGGACACAGTAGATCACAGATCGAGGTACAGGGCTGCTGTGATTGGCCCTGTACCATGTGATCGCTGTGGCGAAAGAGAGCGATCACAATGTACACACAGGCTGCCAGCTGCATCCTGTGAAGTTTCTCCTCTCACAGAAATCTGGAATTTGTGCGGGTGCAAGACCCAAATACAGTTGGACTGGGAACAGAGTGCAAACTGATACACCCCCTATGAATGAGTCCTAATAGTACAGCCAGTCACTGTGTTCCTGATCATCGGTACACCAGTGTGAAAGTCACCAGACCATTGCAGCCAGCAAGTGTCCCTGATCTCCGCCACCCCAGTACAGTGTTGCCTCTGCCTGCTGCCTGTACTGATCCTGGTTTGTTTAATGTCCATGTTTCTGCTTGTTGCCTAGACCAGTGGTGGGCAACCTTTTTATTCAACTGAGCCAAATCTCGCCAAAACCACGATTGAAATTTATTTTGAGAGCCACATTTTTAAAACTGAAAATACATCCCCCATATAGTAATTCATCCCCATAGTAATTCATCCCCCATATAGTAATTCATCCCCCATATAGTAATTCATCCCCCATATAGTAATTAATCCCCCATATAGTAATTCATCCCCCATAGTAATTCATCCCCCATAGTAATTCATCCCCCATATAGTAATTCATCCCCCATATAGTAATTCATCCCTTATAGTAATTCATCCCCCATATAGTAATTCATCCCCCTATAGTAATTCACCCCCCATATAGTAATTCATCCCCCCATATAGTAATTCATCCCCCATAGTAATTCCCCCCCCCCATAGTAATTCATCCCCCATATAGTAATTCATCCCCCATATAGTAATTCATCCCCCCTATAGTAATTCACCCCCCATAGTAATTCACCCCCCATAGTAATTCATCCCCCATATAGTAATTCATCCCCCATATAGTAATTCATCCCACATATAGTAATTCATCCCCCATATAGTAATTCATCCCACATATAGTAATTCATCCCCCATAGTAATTCATCCCCCATATAGTAATTCATTCCCCATATAGTAATTCATCCCCCCTATAGTAATTCATCCCCCATAATAATTCATCCCCCATATAGTAATTCATCCCCCATATAGTAATTCATTCCCCATATAGTAATTCATTCCCCATATCAATTCACTTACCTTTGCTCCGCGCGTTCTTCTCGACGTGTTCCCGCGCCGTTCTGGTCTTCAGGGCGGACTGTGAGAGGAGAGGAGAGGAGTTCGTCACGCTGCCCCCGCCTACATCCTGGCTGCCCCGCCTACATCCTGACAGCTGCAGAGTCCTGACTTTTGGGGCGGCCGCCCGAGAGGAGGGAGGGGAGCGGCCGCCTGAGAGGAGGGAGGGGAGCGGGCGCCCGAGAGGAGGGAGGGGGGCGGGCGCCCGGCACACAGAAGAGCCGCATTTAAGTTTGTAAAGAGCCGCATGTGGCTCGCGAGCCGCGGCTTTCCGACCACTGGCCTAGACCAATCCTTTTCCTGTTTATTGACCACTGCCTACCACTTGAACTAACCCATCTGCACATCCCGATAACTATGGTCCTAAGCCATCCCCTGGGGACAACGGCATCCCTGGAATCACAGGAACTCTTTTTTTGTTGCTTTCTTAAGCCTCCTGTACTTCTTGACCAGTAAACATGGCATTTCTGGGGGTCGCCATGTACCAGTAGGCTAGGCTTGTTTGACTTAGGATATGGGGACTGCTATGGGTGGCACTACACTAGCTATATTTCCTGACATACAGAGCTAACCTCTACAATACATTGTTTTCAATGCAGTGTTGGCTGATTTTTGTGATACACAAGATATAATGTAAGGTACTTAACTGCCTCCCGCCTGCCGTATTGGCTATTACAGTGCTCATCAGTGCACCTGTCACCCATCAGTGGCCATTGTGACGAATGCAGTTCCCAACCTCTGCCCTTTTCGCCAACTTCTGACAAAGGACCAGCCAATCTTACGCTGCGCTTTCACATGCGTAGCAATGCCACTCTCAGCTGCACTCTGCCGAAAGATTTTCCAGCTCATCAAGCAGTATACAGATTGTTTTCCTTTTTGTATGGTTTGGTGTACTTGTTTGGCTCACTGAGGGATTATTGAGCTCAGCTGAAGCAGGTCTGAGTACTCTGGGCTCTATAAATTTCCCAGGCTGCTTAGGGAAGATGCTCCAACCCGGAACCAGATCTCTGTGCAGGACAGACTGGGAAGCAGAAACGTGCTTGTGTGGTGAGATGAAGTCTGTGTGACTAAAGGCTATGATTTATTCTGTGTGACAGTCAGGTGCCTGGACAGCAGTAGGTTGCTTCAGGACAGGTGGCTAGATTCCAATGTTTGTAGTTAGCCGCCTAACTTGGCAAGGATTTATTTTTGTTTTGTTTTGATATTTTGTTGCCTGTACTTTGTGGACACTGACTTTGTAAATAAACCACACAATCCTGCTGTCCACTGTGCCTTTTACACCATGCTGGGCACTCATCCAGGGAGTTATACACAACCTGCTACTGAGCTAATGCCTCACAATATATACACATACACACTTCTTGCAGATGTAAACACTTCCTCACACTTTACTATGTCCACAATATGTCACTATCCTCTATTTTTGTGGTGTAAATGTCCTATAATTAGGATTTCATTTTTGGATATACCATGATTTTTAGTGGTTACTTTGAAAAATGCCTCATAATCTTTCCTTATACAACTGACACACTCCTTTTAACTCCCCCCTGCAGTTCCCTCGCACCCTTTTGGGAATTTAAGCCTTATGGCTCATTTGGGCTTCTATATGGTGCCATTTCTTTTTTCCCTTGTTTTGGCAGGTGCAGAACGCGAGTGTGTGGCACACAGTATTCTATTGTTTGTGCATACTATATAACTGAAATTTCAAAACTATGTTGGTGTTTATTCTTTGCTGTTCATATGACTGATCTTCATTACTTAGTATCTTCCTGGTTACACTTATGTCAATACTAACATACATATATGCTATGATATAGATGGATTAGATGGTTTTGATTTGTAATCATGACATGTTTATGCCATTGCTGAACTAGTGATATTGTGACACCCATTTTATGTTTTAATACGTGTACATATACATATTTTTGTTTTCATAGCACCTTAAATGTCTCATATATTTGCAATTTTCTTCTTTACCTATATATTGAGGATGTGGTGCCAGGTGATCCCAATGCAAGAAAACAATGCAAATTAGATTAAAAAAATATATATATTTTTGCGATAAATTTTATTAGATGCTGAAATTCAGCAGAGCTTTTTCTTATTCACTAAGCTGTCGGGAAGATTCCCTAGCAAAGTGAACAGCCTAGTTTCAATAAGCATTTACTTGCTCAACTTCACTGTCAGTGATGTAACCACCCAGAAAAGAGTAAGTCATTTCCTTGGGATCTGACACTTCTTTGAGTGTCAGATCCCTCACTGTGCCAACTTGCTTTGTCTCCTATGACAGCAATCCAGCTGACAGTGGAACAGCATACAGTGAGAGAGAACTTGTAGCAGCAGTGCTTTTATTTTTTTTTTTTTTTTTATTAGCAGCATTATGTCTGAATTTATACATCAGCAATGACACTTCCTTGTAACAGAGGAAGAATGTGCATTTCTATTTAGCTTTTGTTTACAGGAGTTCAGTCATGTGATGACTATTCGTGGGTAGAACTGAACCCTATCAGAAGTGACAGCGAAGTATCCGCCAGAAGTGTGCACGCAGTGAAAGACGCTGCATATGCACAGAGCATCACTGGATGAAACCTCTATGGCTCAATCCAAGATGACAGCACGCAGTCTGTAGACTACTCACTGTGAAAGTGAGGATAAGACTTAACAATGTACTTAGAAAAGTAGTATCATCAGGATTCTTAAACCCTTGTTAAATCTCCCTGTGGATCCAGTGCATATAAATCTCTGGTATGGTTGCTGAGCAGTGTGGTCGACAAGCTCACCTTCCTCCACCATCTGACCATGCTGGATCAAGGAGATAAACATATAATTAGTTCACCACCTCTCCAATGCTCCCTCGACATTATCTGGTCTTAGAAGATGGTTTTTGTAAAAAAGCTGCTGACCGCTGCTTCCTCCTTGCCCCTACAATTGCCCTATTGACATTCAACATGGCACTACTCCGCCTCGGGGTCAAGTCTGCCGTCTCTCTATTCCTGAGACAAACTATTGCCACCTTGTTTTTTGCGGATTGCCAAGCCAGAATTCCATCTGATTTATCCTGCAAGTAGATGCTATCTGTAAAGCATCTAAGGTGATTTTCAAGAGCATTTAGCAAGCACAAAGCTCTATTTGATACCACACTTAATCGGAAAGGAATAAAGTAGAATTATAGCCAAAGTTATTTTGGCTGTATTTCAAGAGGACCAAAGAAATTCCTAAGGCACCAACATCCTGTTAACATAATCAAAAAATTAGTAAGAATAAGGTGGACTTTTCAGGTGCCAGCAAGAAACACTCAAATATAAAATCATTAAAGGGGTTGTAAAGGCTGAAGGTTTTTACCTTCATGTATTCTATGCACTGTGGGTTCTGCTCCCCCCCAAAATCCCCTTAATACTCACCTGAGCCACCTGTCGATCCAGCCATTGCACAGGAGCCTTGGCTGTCCCAAGTCACTCTCTCCTCACTGACTGAGACCGAGTGAGCGAATGAAGAGAAAGTAAGGGTGAGGCCGAGCCTCAGCTGTATGTGTCTTATGGATGCATCAAGTGGAGCTCAGGATCAAGCACCAGCGCCCCATTAGTAAGTGGCTTGCTAATGGGGGCATTGGTCAAGGGGGAGAAGCCAGGAGCGCCGGTGGGGGACCCAAGCATGAAAGGGTTTGGGGCTGCTCTGTGCAAAACCATTGCATAGAGCAGGTAAGCATGGCATGTTGGTTATTGGGGGGGGGGAAAAAAAAAAAAAAGAACGAACCTTTAGAATCTTAGAATCACTTGATTTTTTTTATTATTACAACATATGTAAAATCACTTAGATAAAAAAACAAGGCCATATGCATAAAAAAAGACCTCCCTCAGTTACCTCACATAGAGGTACACATACCAAACATATTACAGTGACAATAACGTCACAACTGGAAACAAAGTGGATAAAGTGTCTTCCATGGATAGGCAATCTAGCTCTATCTCAATTTGTTTCACAGGAGCACCCTGCTTCTTCATGAGGTGAGAAAAGCAAGCCAGGAAAGTCTGACACCAAACAAGTTATCCTGCTGAACTGCACATGCCAGTTTACAGTTAAGGGTATCACGGTTAAGGATATAACTTCCCAACAAGCTTCAGTGTTCTATCAGTAAAGTCGCAGGTCCCAGCAAAAATCCTTAATGTCAGAGGATGCAAGTGAAGTTAAACTATGCCCACTGTAATTATAGATGACCAGCAAAAACTAGCAAATGGCATAAGCCAGTCTGCCTCAATAGCATGTCCAATGCTGCCAGTGCACTCCTGTGACCCACTAATGCCTGCTGTCAGCTGACATCATAGTCAGTCCAGGCTCTGAAAAGATCTTGACCATATGGTCAGGATCCATCCAGAAGCCTGGACTAGCACCTGGCTCAGCCTCTCAGCAATCCACTGAGAGCCTAAGCCAGCAGCCACAGCCCCCTCCACAGCCCCACGCTCAAGTGAGCGCTGGAGGCGCAGAGCAGAGAGCTGGTGACTGAGTCATGGTTCTCTGCTCAGAGTGGAGGAGGAGGACTAAGGGAACAGCAGGGTTTGATTGCTCAGTTCTCTATGCAGAGCCAGCAGAGGACAGATGCAGCATTGGATCAATTGGATCAATGCTGCCTCCACCTAGGTGAGTATAAGTTTAACTTCTAAAAAAAGACTCATCAAAACAACAAAGCAATTCATGTTCTAGTCTCCTTTCTTAATGAAATTTCCTGTCACAATAAAGGGAACCAGTTGCAGAGTAAAATTAACATTGTACCTACATTAAGGTTTAGGCTATCACTGGGCAGAACCAGGAGAGTTTGAGATTTTTTTTTTAAACAGTTTAAACTTATATTTGAATTGAAAAATACACTGTATTGCCAAAAGCACTGGGACGCCCCTCCAAATCATTGGATTCAGGTGTTCCAATTACCTCCTTGGCCACAAGTGTATAAAATCAAGCACCTAGGCATGCAGACTGCTCCTGCAAACATTTGTGAAAGAACAGGTCACTCTCAGGAGCTCAGTGAATTCAAGCATGGAACCGTGATAGGTTGCCACCTGTGCAATAAATTCATCCATGAAATTTCCTTGCTACTAAATATTCCACAGTCAACTGTTAATGCTATTACAACAAAGTGGAAGCAACTGGGAACAGCAACTCAGCCATGAAGTGATAGGTCACGGAAAAAATAACAGCGTGAGGTCAACACATGCTGAAGAGCATAGTGCGCAGAAGTTGCCAACTGTCTGCAGAGTCAATAGCTAAAGACCTCCAAACTTCATGTGGCCTTCAGATTAGCACAACAGTGCATAGAGTACTTTGTGGAATGGGTTTCCCTGGCCGAGCAGCTGCATTCAAGCCTTACATCACCAAGTGCACTGCAAAGCGTTGGGTGCAGCGGTGTAAAGCACGCCGCCACTGGACTCTAGAGCAGTGGAGACATATTATCTGGAGTGACGGATCACACTTCTCTTCCTGGCAATCCAATGGACATGTCTGGGTTTGGCAGTTGCCAGGAGAACGGTACTTGCCTGATTGCATTGTGCCGAGTCTGAAGTTTGGTGGAGAGGGGATTATGGTGTGGGGTTGTTTTTCAGGGGTTGGGCTTGGCCCCTTAGTTCCAGTGAATGGAACTCTTAAGGCATCAGCATACCAAGACATTTTGGACAATTTCATGCTTTAAACTTTGTGTGAACAGTTTGGGGATGGCCCTTCCTGTTCCAACATGACTGTGCACCAGTGCACAAAGCAAAATCCATGAAGACATGGATGAGCGAGTTTGGGGTGGAGGGACTTGACTGGCCTGCACAGAGTCCTGACCTCAATCAGAAAGAACACCTTTGGGATGAATTAGAGTGGAGACTGTGAGCCAGGCCTTCTCGCCTGACATCAGTGCCTGACCTCACAAATGTGCTTCTGGAAGATTGGTCAAACATTCCCATAGACACAGTCCTAAACCTTGTGGACAGCCTTACCAGAAGAGTTGAAGCTGTTATAACTGCAAAGGGTGGGCCAACTCAATATTGAACCCTACAGACTAAGACGGGGGTGCCACTACAGGTCATGTGTGTGTAAAGGCAGGCGTTCCAATACTCTGGACAATATAGTATACATTAAGAAAATTGAAAGACAATGCCAAAAACAATATATATATACATTGTGTAAAGTAATGATAAAATTAACAAAAGTTAACAAATCAATAAGCATACACAGTGGGTAAAATAAGTATTGAACACGTCACCATTTTTCTAGGTAAATACAGTATATTTCTAAAGGTGCTATTCACATGAAATTTTCACCACGTCGGTAACAACCCATGCAATCCATACATACAAAAAAACCAAAACAAATAGGTTCAGAAATTAAGCTATGTGTAATAAAAATGGAATGACACAGAGAAAATTATTGAACACATGAAGAAAGGGAGGTGCAAAAAAAGCATGAAAGCCAAGACATCAGCTGAAATCTATCAGTAATTAAAAAGCATTTCTGCCTCTCATCAATGCAAATTAATATCAGCTGGTTCAGTCTGAACTGATGGGCTATAAATAGGTGTTTCATTACCAAGGTGTCACACAAGAAACATCTCATTATGGGTAAAAGCAAAGGACTCTCTCAAGACCTTCACAATCTTATTGTTGCAAAACATGGCATTGGTTACAGAAGGATTTCTAAACCTCTGAATGTCCCTGTGTGCACTGTTGGGGACATAATCCAGAAGTGGAAAGAACAGCATTTCAAAATAAACTGGCCACGACCAGGTGCTACTTGCAAGGCTCCATTGCTGACAAAAAAGCATGTTGAAGCGTGTTTAAAGTTTGCTGCACAACATTTAGACAAGCCTGTGAAATACTGGAATATAGTCTGGTCAGATGAGACCAAAATTGAACTCTTTCAATGCCATAATACACACCATGTTTGGAGGTCAATGGCACTGCACATCACATCAAAAACACTATACCAACAGAAATGTTTGGAGGTGGGAACATCATGGTGTGGGGCTGTTAATTCAGCATGCGGTACTGGCAAACTTCATATTGAAGGAAGGATGAATGAAAAAATGTATCAAGACATTATTGCTAAAAATCATGCGATTAGTTTCTCCATACAGGAGGCGTCTTGAAGCTGTCATTACCAACAAAGGATTTTGTATGAAGTAGTAAATACATTTCAGTTACCGTGCTCAATACTTTTTTCCTGTGTCATTCCATTTTATTACACATACCTTAATTTATGAACTATATGTTTTGGTTTCTTTGTATGTATGAATTGCATGGATTGTTACAGGCATGTGGTGAAAATTTCATGTCAGTAGCACGTTTAGAAATATATTTACTGAGAAAAATGGTGACGTGTTCAATACTTATTTTACCCGTTGTATAGTATGTTCTGATTCACGCATCACTTTTTTCATTGGGCTATTACTATGTTCATAAATAAGCAATTCGAATTCCAGATTCATATAAATTACATATCAGTCAGAAACAAACCTTTGATTTTTCATTCTTTATCCTGTGAGCTTCATCAATGACCAAATACCTCCAGTTGAACTTTTTAAAAACAGATTTTTCTCGTATGACCATTTCATAAGATGTAACACAGACATCCCATTCTCCAGGCATCATGACATCTCGTATAAAAAAGCAGCCTAATTCACACAGGAAAACAAACAATTTTGAAATAAAACCATTATTTTCTATGCTTTAAGGAAAATCTCCTCAAATTACAAACATAACAAATATCTTAGTAACTGTCCTGTATCATTAGTTTCCAGGCAAACCATTAAATACACAGCTGAAAAAAATAAATGTGGACTATGCCTTCTGCCAGAAGCTAGAGGGTTTTTTTTTGGTCCCGAGGGACCAATAGGATTTTCTGTTTCATTTTTCCCAGATGATAAAAGCTGTTCGGTACTCATGGGCATCAAGTTAACCAGTGCCCATTATGCACATGAGATCAGCCATTTACAGGCTGGGCGTGTCCCAGTGCAGGCTGTGTTGCTTAAAGCGGTACTCTACAACAGAACAAATTTTTTAGAGTACCCAAGCTTATCTGCCTGTTTGCAAACTTCTGAATGCACACTAAGCTGTGCATTATTAGCTCAGTGTATATTTTTGGCATGCCTCAATGCTGAAATGAATCAATCCAATAAGCATGTGTAGGAATTACATGATCCTGGCCAATCAAAATGGCCAAAAATCCTACATGCATAAGAAGTTGAAGAGAAAATGATGGCACTGACGAGGGGGCTTGCTGATGTCAAATAGTTAGAGTGGAGGTAAGTATTGGAGCCTTCAAACATCCAGAACCAGGCTGGATTTGAAATACAATATATTGTTCCCACATTCCTTTCTCTGTTTTATTATAACCTACTGATCAAAAGTTGCTCACAAGAACACATTTCAACTTTTGCGAGAGACAACTGAGTACTGTCCGTGATACTTTTTTTTTATTTGCACTAAAATACAATCTTTCAGGATGTGCCCCATTCTTCAAGGTCCAAGCAGTACTAATGCACAAAGTTTTAGCAGACAAACTGAACAATACAGGGTATGATATCACAGGAGGCAGCCTGGCAGGACAGGGGCAAGCACTGATGCTTGTCCAGGCTGACCAGCAGCACTAGACATACACAGGACACTCACAGCTAGGCATGGGACTTTGACTTTTATATACTTTGTCTAATTTTTGTAACATTTATGTGAGTGAATCTGTTAGAGACATTATATCAGCTTTCTTACCCGTTGATCTTTGTCACCAATTAAACAAACTGCACAAAGAGAAGGCACCCAGCGTTTAAATTCATTCATCCAGTTATGAAGGGTAGATTTTGGTACCAAAACCATATGAGGACCTGGAATGTTCCGGTAGTGTTTAAGGTAACCCAGCAAAGCAATTGTCTGCAGGGTTTTTCCCAATCCCTAAAAAATAAAACAGTTTGAAAAAAATGCCTTCTAAACAATAGAAAATACATAGCAATGTTCTAAAGTAATGCATACAGCTTAGGTTATGCATAGATAGAAATATAACAATACTGTATTACTGAAACAGGAAGTTACAGTTTAAAGTTTCAACATGAAGTAAAGTGCAACATACATGAGTACAGTTTGCTATACCTTAAGTAATGCAACCGCTCACTATAATCAATAACTGTCCGTTTTAGCATGTTTAATAAAAGCATTCAGATCATAGGTGTGCATGGGGAAGTGCACATCTCAGCATTGTGAACTGTTCATAGGACAGTACATTCTCTATTTATCTCTACTGAAAGGTGTACAATGAAAAAAGGACAGGACAGGGCAGATTTGACCTGCAGTATTTCTTCTATTTTCTTAATTTGTCATTTTTCATTTGTCTTCATTTATCACCCTTCACAAAAAATAAATAGATATAACTGGCGTGAGACTTATGTGGTTTATATTTGCCTAATAGATAGTATTTAGAATTACCAGTAAATTAGTTAAAAATACCTTTCCGATGCCCTTTTGGTTGAAAAAGTCTAATTGTACATCAAGAACCCTAATCCTAAGTGTGAAGGGGCCTATTTACATCTATCTTGTACACAGGGTGAAAGCGAAACAAGAAGAACTTATTTCTTATATGCAATTTTTGTTATTTTATTAGTTTGTCTTTATATATTTGCATACAGTAAAAGTATCGCTTTCATGGGTGCCTATATTGTGTTGACCTAAACTGTTAAACACTTGTTGGTACAATACTTGCAGAGTTTTCTTTCATTTTAGATAAAATTGGTTGACCAGTAATTGATGCAATGACCAAAAATAGGATATTTGACTTACCAGTAAAATCTATATCTTGGAGTACAGCATGGGGCACAGGTCCTTTTATGTGATTGTAAATGTTCAAATATATTAAATTAAAATAAAAATGTCATGCTTACCTGCTCTGTGCAATGGTTTTGCACAAAGCAGCCTCGATCCTCCACTTTAGGGGTCCCCCGCCGGTGCTCTTGACTCCTCCCACTCGCAGAGTGCCCCCATAGCAAACCACTTACTATGGGCACACTCATGTAGGGTCGTTCCAGAGTCAACTCTGTGTAAAAACACAAAGCATGGCTTGGCACCACACTCCGCTCCTTCTTCACTAGCTGTGACTGACGGCAACAGGAGCCAATGGGTCCCACTGCTGTCTCTGAGCCAATGAGGATGGAGAGAGATGAGAGAGCCACTGCTCTTGTGCACATCACTGGATCGGGATCGGGCTCAGATATGTATAAGTGGAGGCTAGGGGGCTGCACACAGAAGACTTTTTAACTTACTGCAGAGGACAAATACCCTCGGTGGGCTTTGATACCACAAACAGGTTTGAATACAAACCTTTGAGCCTGTCTTGCAGAGTTACATGCATAACTACCCCTTGGGACAGGAGATGGTTCAAGGCATTCAACAAATTTGTCTGTCCTTGGGCAGTTTTTGGTTGATTTAAGAGAAGAAAGCAGATGATGTCCCATCCCCTGTTCCTGGAACAGAAGAAGGTTCATGGCATTAGACAAATTTGACTGTCTTTTGGCAGTTTTTGGTTGATTTTAAGAGAAAAAAGCAGTATAGAGAAATAATTTTTAAATCTATTTTATATCCCTCTGAATCCACCAATTAAATCCACAGTGACTTTGGGGATGAATTTCTGGGCTTTGTTGCCCAAGTCTTGTGCCGAAAGGCAGGGCTGAACTGAGGTTTTGAAACTTGGGTGCTCTATTAAAACACGATGCTGAAAAACTGGGTCATGTTAGTTGTTAATTACCCTAGTCTAGTTATCTGCAGATTGATGTACTGAAATTGCAGCCAGAGCTAGTTGTAGGGCTGGGCCTACAAAAGTAAAGAGAGCCTTTGAGAGCTTCTCACACTTTCTATCTGAGATGGCATGATCAACCACAGGGCTAGACCACTTCTTTGTGAACTCTTTTTCACTGGATAGAGTTCAGCAAGGATTTTTGGAGGAGTAAAAATTATTTTTGGAGTAATCCAATCATCATATATTGTCAACAAAAAAACAGCGCAAACAAAAACCTCCAAATATACAATATATGAGTGAACAAACAATAAATCAAATGTCCATGGAAATAAAAGTCCTTATTCTCAGTGAGGAAGGACTCTAAACAAACAATAAATCAAATGTCCATGTAAATAAGAGTCCTTCCTCACTGGGAATAAGGACTTTTATTTACATGGACATTTGATTTATTGTTTGTTTACTCATATATTGTATATTTGGATGTTTTTATGTTTGTGCTGTTTTTTTGTTGTCATTTATTGGTGTTTTTAACTGTTGCCCAGATGCATACTCACTTGGTATCTATCTTTGTGCGCTGGGATATATATTTTTTGTTTGTTAATCATCATATATTGCACATTCTATCTGTTCAAGAACAGGAAATATTTTGATACTTTTTGCAGGTCTCTTTGTACCCGATGGGGAGTGGTGAGATGGAGGAGAATCAAGCTGTACAGTGACAAGATTTTTGTGGATGGCAGCAGTGAGATTTTCCATGTTGGAAACCATGTTGTGTGAAGTTCCCTTATCAATATAGAGGAAACCTGGGGAAGAAAAATCTTCCACAGCTTCCTTCAATACTGCCTCCATGTTTTCTCCTTTCCTTTCTCTGTCTGCCTTGTCTAAGGCAGGTGTGCCGGATCCGACTCAGGTAAAAACTGGGAGTAAGAGAATAAGTTTGCCATTTTTGAACCTGGACAAAGATTGCTGTATTAAGTCTGTTATTATTCGAAGGGATTGTGGCATAGATGCAGAAAATTTTTTTTTTTTTTTGTTAACTAGGTCGCTTGTCACTAGCACACCAAAGCACTAGAATGGGATTTGATGGAGAGGCTGGTCTTAGAGCCTGTTCCGGTGCAAGAGACACATCGTCACTCTGAGGTTAAATTTTGTGCATGTATAGCACCCTGTGACTGACTACATGCGTTGCAAGTGCCAAGGTGAGAACCCATGTGGGATCCAGTGCTCAAAGCAACATTACAGGTCAGCCCCACAGCATGGCGTTCTGGTCCGGCTCCCAAGGTTGCACTGATCTGGACACACTGCTTCTATTTGTGGTATTAGAAAGCAATAAGGAGCTGATTGAAGAAATCAAAGACAAAATAATAAATAATAGAAAAATTAAAATGGTGAAGGCAAAGGGTGATTTTCTCCATGAAGGAAAAGATATCCATAACCATACGTCGCTAGCAAAAAGAGGGAGGACTCCTAGGACTGGGTAGGGTTATAGGGAAGGTACCCAGGGGGTGTCTCCTGAAAAGGTTTGCCAATGTTCAATCACCTGAAAGTATGAGCCTATAACCAACAGTCTATAAATACTTTATCCTAATTGTACAAGGCACAGGCAAAGGCCTTAAAGCAGAATTTCACTCTCTCAATCAACACTGACTATTTTTAATCCTTATGCCACTAGCAATAGTGAATAGAAAGTATATCATATTTACTTGTGTTAAACTTTTTTTTTACATAATAAAAATGAATGAAATAGTGTTTTTGTTTTGTGGTGCTCAGATGCAGTGCAGTTACACTTTAGGGAGTGAGACACCAAAAATCTATAAAACAGAATGGCCAAGGCCAAGATTTGTCCTTTGATGGTACTCACAGCCAGATACTGAGCAGACTGGACAGGACAAAAAACAGAATCCATTCCACAAGTTACTTTCTATGATGACAGTTCTTGACTTGCACCAAGATTAAAAAGGTCTTCCAACGGTCTTCCAGGTGCGAGGGTACACCGTACGAGATGTCAACTTCCTAGCAGGATGGAACACTGGTCCTTGGAACAGGTGTTTACTTCAGAGGGTAACTGCTCAAAGTGTTTCTTGCGTGGGAACTCAACTTCCCAGCATTTAAAGCGGTTGTAAACCTCAGACATGAAATATGAACAAAGTATATTCCTTTATAGTTGTTACCTATCTTAGTCCAGAGCAATATGTGTAATTTCTGTCTGCTGCCCTGTTCCTCTGCTATCTGCATGAATCACGTTTGATAGGTTTTCCTGACACCAAGAGGAAAAAGGTGACGGGGAGGGAGCGCCAGCACAGAGCCTGTGACTGACAGCCTCAGCTCTGTTCCTCTGTGCTGTGTGAAAAGGGGGGGGGGTGTTCCTACCCTCCAATTCCCTCTTTTCACTGAGCTCTGCAGTGAGCTCTCTACCCCGTTTTCTGAATGCTCAGACAAGCTTTATAAATTCTGGACATAGAACGAATGTAGAGAAGAGAAAACTGCAGGTACAACTTATGCAGGAGGATTTGTTACATCTCTGTGTATCACCTGAGGCCAGTCACTTCACTGGGTATAGGTGAGGGTTTACAACCACTTTAAGCCACAAAATCATGTGCATGTGCCACCTCCTCCTCTGGTAACATGTCTGGTTCAAGGGATGAGATTAATGACAGACTCAGGAGGTTGAAGAAGCACCACTGCTACCCCTGCTATCTAAGGCACTGATAAGGCCAGAAATTCTGCCCATGAAAATTGACATTGTAGAACAAAATCTCTTTCTGGAGAGCTACTAAATAGTACCCACAGGAGAATGCAAGATGTTGCCTGTCCAAATTCCTGTCCCAAAAGAGTATAGAACAGAGAGAAGAGGTCCATCACCTAAGGACACCTAGCATAAAAAATGAGGCTAGCTGGGAGTGTAAGGGGTTGTGTAGAAGGATGTCCTTGCAGCCATCTTTTTTTGCTAGTGTCCAATCACCTGAAAGCAGAACATGTAGACACAGCAACCCCACTGAAAATGAGTCAGCGCAGGGAAAGAACATGCTTCGAAATTTCAGGTACTGTAAGTGCCTGGTTTCTACATACGCACTAGGCACCACTCTGGGTGATGCAAACAGGCATAGTAGCATCAAAATAGAAGCATTACTTAATAAAAGAAAGGTGGTCCACAGCTCCAACACACTCC